CCTGTAAGTAAGGCCATCTCCATACAAGCAAAGTAAGGTAAGGCCATCTCCATACAAGGTTCCAAAAGATGAAGGGGGAATCAGGCGGTTGAAAGACAGCCACTGGCAGCTCTGAGGGCCTTTCATTTGCTATCCATCCCTTTTATTCCACTCCACTCTCATGAAACGTGTAACTAACTTCTTCAAACTTGCGGTTGGTTAAGTCATTGCTGGTCCAAAAGATGGAGTCATTTCCCAGAGATGATGATGAAGGGAGTTTATGTCAACCTTAGAAAGTCTCTTACTTGAGAACCCTGAAAAATCTTTCACAAAGCAATCCATCCATTAGCTCCTGAGGTATGATGGTTAAGAAGCCGTCAGCGGCAGCAGAAGATAGCCCATAAGGGGTCCTTAAAGGAAGGGAGAGTTAATGGTCAGGCAGCAACTGAACTGCAGAGTGTGTTAGCCACAGGGAACTGCTGTCCATCACCTGTGAGTCTGCAAGAGTACTGAGCATCAGCAACAAGTTGGCAAGCCATGGCCTTAGTACAAGGAGCTTGCACCTCCAGAGCAAGTGAATAAGAGAATAGGGTCACCCCAAATTGTCTCCCTTCCTACCTTGTGACCTTCTCTTCTGGCCTCTCCCTGGCCAAACCCAGCAGGAAGGCCAGAGAGAGGCAGAGCTCTGGCAGGGTTCTGTGTCAGCTCGCCCAGACACAGGGGCAGAAAAAGACAGATAAAAAAAAATCTGGGTGTTAAAGAAGGCAGATGGGACACAAAAGTTAGTCACTGTGGACCGCCCAGGTTCTCCTCTCCAAGCCAAGGGAGGTGATAATGAGCAAGGCAGGTGAAGTCCCTGTCCTTATGCACAGAGCTCACTACAGCACACGTGGCAAGTCCCAACAAGCACACCACAAAGCAAAAACACGGAATTTTCTCACACACGCTTAAATCCTAGGGAGAAAAAGAAGGGTCGGCGACTGAAGGTGAGTGACAGGAGGAAAAGTCAGAGGAAGGGCAACCTGGGAAGGCATCTTGTAGGAGTGATGCAAGCCGGGACTTCTAAAGAAAATCGCCTTTGGCCTGCTCTGACTCTTAGAAATCATTCTGTGTGGGATGTTGGTACAAATCCAGCATGGACTGTGACTTAGACACATTGATTAGTTCCCATGATAACTAGCTGGGAAGAACACGCAGGCATATTTACACAGAGCCTGCAATTTCCACCATAATGGCATTTACTAGATCCCTTTAATGTACTTTTTGTGGGTAACAAGGAATCGGGTTGTTCCTTCCTGGTGGGTGTTGGAATGTCCCCATGGAAGAAGGTAGAGTGGAGATACCCCCATCCCCACCCCCATCACCCCGTGTCAGTCCTATTCGCCTTTGAAATTCTAGGAGATATATATATATATGTGTGTGTGTGTGTGTGTGTGTTATATATGTGTGCGTGTGTGTGTGCGCGTGTGTGTGCGCGTGCGTGTGCGTGTGTGTGTGTATATATATATATGTGTGTGTGTGTGTGTGTGTGTGCGTGTGTATATATATATATGTGTGTGTGTGTGTGTGTGCGTGTGTGTGTGTATATATATATGTGTGTGTGTGTGTGTGTGCGTGTGTGTGTATATATATGTGTGTGTGTGTGTGTGTGTGTATATATATATATGTGTGTGTGTGTGTGTGTGTGTGCGCGCGTGTGTGTGTGTATATATATATGTGTGTGTGTGTGTGTGTATATATATATATATGTGTGTGTGTGTATATATATATATATGTGTGTGTGTGTATGTGTGTGCGTGTGTGTGTGTATATATATATGTATATATATATATATATATATATATATATATATATATATAATTGGTCTACCTGGTTAGTTCCCCATGCATAGGGGAACTAACCAGGTAATTGAAAGGCCTAATTTGGGAGATGAGACACGTGGCCCAGTAGCCATCACAGGCTGAGGAGTAGCTATGCAACCAGCTCCCCAATGGCCCTCCCTCCCCCTCTCTCCCTCCTTCCCTCCCTCCCTCTCCTCCCACTAACTCCCTCCCTTCTTCCCTCTCCCCCTCACCCCACTATGCTTCCTAACTTCTCCTCCCCTACTGCAGGCCAGTTTCCAGCTTTAACTAGTGGTCGTGGTCTCCAAGGCTGTTTACGGAATAGGTAAGGTTTCTCAGTCAATAAAACAAACCAAGTCTTCCCCAGAGTGTCCCCCCCCCCAGGCTTAAAACGGGGCAGAGGGTGTGCGATTGCTGGCCACTGGGGTCTACATTTTGTATTTCCCTGACAGCCCTAAGCCCCGCTGCACAGCCAATGGGCAGCGGTGATTTATGAAGCTGACTAATGCTGGCTGAATGCGGCCTGTCAGAGCGCTGTGAATGGCTTCCCTTCGCTGCACAAGCCCTGGCTTTGTGTTGCTAAGCGATTAGAGCAGATGTAATGAGATTTTGCCCATTCCTAGCTTCAGCAAAATTGTGTGTGTGTGTGTGTGTGTGTGTGTGTGTGTGTGTGTTGTGAATTTTTGGAGTTTGCCTTCACATTGTGGCAAACAACTGGCTAACTTTCTTTGCCCAGAGTTTTAACCAAGACTCGATGTTTCTCATTCAGAAGGGGGTAAAAGAACACCTGTCCTTGCAGGCAAAAGAGGGGGAAAAATCCCTTTTGTAGAGGTTGAAACATTATCCTTATGTTATATTCATAGCCATAAAGGACTTGCAACACTTTCTTTGCATACCTTAAGCAGCTAAATCAAATAGGAAGGGAATGGAGAGAGGAGGGGAGTGCCTAACTCCAGTCTTCCAAATAATATACAAAGCCAGTGCCATAGGAGCATTGCTTCCTTGAGTAAGCTCTAAATTGGCCCACTGCTGGCAGAAAGTCCGATTATTTATGGCGATGGGGAATTTACTGATTTTTTCCCCCTTAATTACGCCCATCTCTATGAAAGGGACCGAAGCCTCCATGTGCATTCTATAGAGGGTCATTTAGCAAAATGACATCAGACTCTGTGGCATGCTCCACGCATAGTGGCTTTTAAAAATGGTCATTCTGAGCCGCTAAATGGTATAGATATACCAACACAAACTGGATTTTTAACTCTGGAAGACGTGCCGGCTCCCAGCTCTTTGTTGGGTTTTGTAAGATGCATTTTGCGCCTGGTTTTCCGCTTGGCTGAAGACACGCAAACTGAATCTGCAAGTGATGCAGGCAGCGAGCAAGGAGCCTGCTAGAGGTCGAGTAGGATTCTAAGCACGTCCTTGGTAACTGACAAGAAGCGAGCCAGCCAAAACCCCACCAATTTCTTTTTGAATCTTGGTAATTGGGTACTTTTACACGCTGCTCACGCTATGGGGATAGAGCCACAGGCTTAGATGGGCTGGCTTCTCAAAGCGACCACACATTTGTACTACATTTGCATATTCAAGTCCAATTCCTTCTGCGGGGAATTTTTATCATATGGGTCCTTTACTTCGACTCAGAATGGAAAGTGTGTATATTGGGGGGGCAGATGTATATATTGGGGGGTTATGTGTGTAGACGTGAGAGTGAAGAGTCCATCCCACAGGGTTTGTTTGTGGCGAGGGAGACCCATTCCATGCCCCAGCTTTCAGCACTGTCCTTCCAAGCCTTCCATCTCCCCACAGTGATAGCCTCACGTGGGCTGAGAGAGGGAAGGGAGAGGAAGGGTGGCCCTGCCCAGGTTATTATTTGGTTTTTGTTTTGTTCTAATGCATAATGTGTGGTAGGATGATACAACTAGGAATTGCAGTCTATTTCCCTGCAAGCTGTATACAGGCATGGGGAATAAAACAGAAGGGGACCCCACAGGCAATGCTCACAAAGTTACCACTGGAGAAGGACTGGCTGGACCACTCATCCCCCCTTTTCTGCAACTGAGCACCCTCGGCGCCACCCTCCACCCCCCCCCCTTGCGTATTTCGATAGCTTAGCCAGGAGCATCAGAGCCAAAGAAGACGAAGACTTAGAGGCAGCTGGTCATTTTTTCTCTCTCTCTTTTTTATAAAAAAAGGAAAAAAAGTTTTATTACAAAACTAGTTTGTATAAAACAGGGTTATACATGTTTTTGTGAGTTTGTAATAAAACAGTAAGAAAAAAAAAAAAAGGCAGTGGTAGAAATTTCCAAAAGGCAACCCATGGAAATCAACTGGATGCCACTTTGCGTTTGGACAGTAGCTGCATAAACTTTGTTCCCCGTGAACAGTTTTTAATAGCATCATTAATACATTAACAACGTTTCTATGAAGTAAGACACATTGGTGCTGAAGTCATTCTGGTGGCATTTAGATCTCACCTGTGAGGGGAGTTCTTTACAAAACCACACCGGGGGGGGGGATGGCAATTTTAAGATGGACTACATATCTAAAGTATGCAGAGGTAATCGCATTACATGTTAAAGTATCAAGATATACACATTTTAAACCATTTGTACAAAACTTCTATAAATTTCTCTCTCTCTTTCTTATGTACAAAAATATCTTAATATATCCCCAAACTGGTTAGGATAGATACAAATAGATTTTTTTTCTTATAATAAAAAAATTCACAAAGATTGGAAGCATTCTATGACAAAAACAGAAGCAAAGACTGGGAGAATTAGGATCTGGGGAGGAGGCCACCGGGATAAAGGAAAGGTTGTCCAAGAACTGAGTGTGATATAGCGTAGCTGCTTCACTGCAGATGAAAGCCCACAGCTGGCTGGGATGGGGCTTACTAAGGAAAGACATCAACCTAGGTCCCCAGGGCTAAGACTTGGTTTCCCTAGACGGCTGAGAGGTGAAGGCACAGGCAAGTGCTTTCAACCCTGACTGTTAGTAGTTGGCTGGGAGTTGCTAGAGGGTGCGTGTGACTCTTATTCTAGGAAAAAAATCCGCTGCTTTTACACACCGCCTGTGACCAGTCACTCTTCTCGTGTCTGGGAATGATTGGCGTGCACAGTTACGGTTTGGAGCCCGACCCTGTTTGCAGAGAACATTGCATCGTAGTCATTTGCCCCTGGACGTTGGCCGTCTGGTTTGTTTGTTTTCTTCCTCCCTCTCAATGTCCTTGGCGAGAAACACTAAAGACACAGGATCTGCTGTCGCTCTGTAACAGAAACAAGAGAGGTTAGTATAAATATGGAGGGTAATGGTAGAGGATGTGGAGGCTTGGGTGGAGTCTGTCAGGTAAAGCATCTCTTTGGACAAGTCAGTCCCGGGGCTGAGTACCTAGGGTCTTGGCACCTCACCCTCAGTTCCTTGGAAACTTGGGCAGGCCACTTTCAAACTAACAAATTAGGATTTGAAACAGACAAGCTAACAGCAATAGCAACCCGTCCTCATTCCTGGAGACATCCCCTACCCTCCATGGACCCTCAAAAAGGGGGAAGGGGGCCCAGCCCCAAAGGAAACCTACCTACTTTCAAAGTCCTTTTCCAGTAGGACTGGACAGCTCCTCAGAACCAGTTGGTGAAGTCTAGCAGTTCCTGTTCCTCCGGACTGAGAGGGTCATAGGATCCCTCGTCGGAGGAGTAGGACGAGACCGGAGACCCCGCCATAGAGTTCATGTCGTTGGAGTAGTTGGGGGAGATGGTGGGCGACAGGACGCCCGCCTGGAAGGCGGCGCTCACCGCGTCGTGTTCGTCCAGCAGCTGCTGCAGAGCTCGGATGTACTCGACCGCGGAGCGCAGCGTCTCCACCTTGCTCATCTTCTTGTTGGCCGCGCCGTTGGGGACGTGCTCCCGGAGGGTGGCAAAGCCCAGGTTCACCAACTTGACGCGGTTGCGCTCGCGCTCGTTGCGGCGCGCCACGGCGGCCGGCTGCTGCTGCGGCAGGCTGTAGCCGAAGCCGCTGAAATTGAGCCGGCGTTTGCAGCGCATCAGTTCGGGAGAGGACGAGCGCTGGCGCTTGACCTGCTTGGCCGCTGACTTGTGACCGCCCCCTGAGGGCTGACCGTCGGCCCCTGGGCTCAGCTGCGGCGCCTGCTGCGGCTGCGGCTGCTGCTGCGCGCTCTGCGCCGCCGCCGCCGCCGAAGCGAAGAAGCAGGCGGCGGGAGGCAGGAAAGGCTGCGGGGGCTGCGGCTGCTGGCCCGCTCCGCTCTCCATCTTGCCAGAGCCCTCCATGCCGGGTCAAGGAGTCGCGGGGAAGAGCGAGAGGGGTACGCGGGACTGAGAGGCGCGATCAAAGGGGGCGAAGGGAAGGGGAGAGGAGGCGCGGGCCCGGGGGAAAGTTAAAAGAGAAGGAGCGCGCAGAAGGCCGCTCGGGTCTCCAGCTGCGGCGGAGGAAGGCGCCCGGGCGATCGTCTTCCCTCCGCGCCGCCTCCTCCCTCCCCTCCTCCCGCCGCGGTTGGCTTCGGGAGCCTCGCGTGGCGCTCGCGTGTGCGGCCGCCGCCGGCGCCTTCTCGGTATTGAAAGAAAAGGGGGAAAGGGAAGCCGCGGCGCAAGTCAGTGCTGAGCGCGCTCTGCCGGGCCGCGCCGCGCCGCGCCGCTGGTGCTGTGCTCCCTTGCGCCCGGTCTCCCCGGCTCCAGCCTGGGTTGAGCCTGGTTCTGGGATTATTTGGTTAACCCCCCTTTCTTTCCAATGCCTCTTTCGCCCCCAATTCGCCCTCCCTGATCGGCTCCCAGCCGGTACGCCTTCCACGTTCCCTGGCCAGAAGTGAGAGAGTGCTGGGCGGCTGCGGTGCGGCCGCCTTTTCAATGGGACACCCGGGCCCACGCGCAGCCCTGGCCCCGCCTCGCCCCCCACTCCCCACTGCTGCAGCGGGCGGCTGCAACCCCCACCCCCTCCTCTCCCCCCACCCCCTCAGCTCCCTCCCTCCCCCCCCACCCCCTCCGGTTGCCCGCGCCCGCTCCTTGCAAACTCTCCATTCAGCCGGGTTTGTTGTTGCAGTGCGTGCGCCTGGCGCGTGCCGGACTCCCGGCTGAATAAACAGGCTGCGCGCTCGGGGCGGTGGCGCGGGGCGCCAGGGGGTGGCTCTAGAAATGGGGGCCTTCTTCTTCGTCTTAAAAAGGGCAAATGGCTCCGGGACTTGTGGTACCTAGGTGGGTGAGGGGAAGTGTCTTTGGGGTCTACTGAGAACTTGGGAGAAAAATGGACGAAAGGAATTAGGCTGGGAAAAGTAGCAAAGTTGCAAAGGGACCTCATGGAGGCGGCGGGACTGGGATTCTGTACCCTCCCGCCCCCGTTTTCTCTCCACAGTTATTCTGGGGGATTATTTGATGGTCCTAAAAAATAAAACAGATTTGCAATTAGGTTTAGAAAGATGGAAAGGGAGAGACCACGAGTAAAGTAATGGCCGCTGTATGAGAACTTGAGTTCAAGTCCCCTGAGTTCTCTCACTAGCCTTGGCGCTAGATGAGTTCTACCCTCTCTGAGCTGCCCTGTAAGGTTGCATGGGGGGAGGAGGGGATGACACTGCTTTCCTATCCTGCTTCAAAAAAGGATGTGCCTGCTGGACACAGCTCTACGAGTGTGGAGAGGATAAAGACCTGAACTGGTACTTACCAGTTCTCTAAGAAGCTGAGGCAGGAGAATCATAAGTTGAAGGCTAGTTTGAACTACATAATGAGACACCCCTCAGCTTAAAAAAAAAAACTGTGTGTGTGTGTGTGTGAGAGAGAGAGAGAGAGAGAGAGAGAGAGAGAGAGAGAGGGAAGAGAGAGAGAGAGAGAGTGAAGAGAGAGAGACTCCTGAGCACAAGTGGTCAGTGGTGTAGGGCATGTATTTAGGGAAGTTCTTGGGGTTAGCTCATTCTGGCCCTCTGTAACACCTGCCAATCCTCAGAAGATGCTCTCTGGATTGACTGGCTGGGAAAAAGGAGAGTGGGCATATTCCAAATCCTCTGGAAGATTGGAAAAGGAAGATTTGTGCAGCGCGGAATGGAGGGTGACTGAGTTGAACAAACAGAAAGGCTTCCCTCCCTGTCCTGCCCTGCCACAGACTCCATGGAGGCCTTGGCGCAGCCTTCATCCCGCCCCAGGCGTGTGCCTGGCGGGCCGGTGGCAGGCGACTGGGAGCTGAGCCCGCTGGGGCCGTGTGCTGGCACCGCGAGAGAGGGGGAGGCGCCTGCAGCGGTCGCTCAGCCCCTGGGACAGTGCCTGCCCAGGCGCCCTTCCTGGGCCCTAGGCCTGGCTCTCTCTGCCCGAAGCAAGTCCAGCTTAGCAACGCCAAGCACAGCAGCCAAAGGTCTCTGGTACACTCTGGGCTAGACTCTGGTCAGGTCTACATAGGCAGAAGCAAGCAGACAGCAGCCCTCTGGCGGATTTGTTCAGAAGTCCTCAGGTTTGATCAAGGATCAGAGTACAGTGATTACCGCGAAGAACCGGAGTACTGGCTTCTAGTTATTGTGGTTGCTATTATTTTAATTATGATTAGAGCTGTTTTCCAGTGTCTCACTCTGGGCAATCTTCCTACATTGGCTTTCCCAGGACTAGGATGGTGAGCACAGCTTCTGGCCAGGATAATTGCTTCTAGTTGATTTCTCTTTGTGGAAATGGGTCTTTCTAAAGGATCTATGAGGATGTCCCAGAGAGAAGTCCTAGGTATGAGTGGCTAGAGTAACAGTGGTGCCCCTGTGGAGAAGAGGGGGCTTCCCAGCTGACTCACACACCTTGCCTTGACTTCTCCTTGTAGAAGGACAGGTGTGGGCAGCACGGGCTGTAACCACTCCAACTGACCAATGCTGCAATTGTTCTCACTTGTACATCCGGGTGGCTCTACCATAGTTAACGTATTGCGTTTTGGGAGTCTCAGCTCTCTGGCCACGCCCTTGCCCCCTAACACACAGAGAAGAGACTGGAATGAGACTGGGTTGGTGAGGACCAGAGTTGTGAGAGGGTGTGTATGTCATTTTTCTATTGCAGGTATGGGAGGCCTGGGGAGCTGTATGAAGAAGAGAGGTTTGTCTAAGCTCACAGTTTCAGAGGTTTGAATCTCTGACCAGTTGGCCCCCTGTGTTCTGAACCTGTGTGAAATGACATACCATTGCTGAAATACATAAAATGGCAAAACTACACACATTATGGCCAGGAAAAGGGGGGGGGCCTAGGGACGAGTCCTGCTCACATTTTTGGTCAACTCGACACACTTAGACGTATCTTACTTGATAAAAGGCCTTTGTCCAATTGTCAGTTCACAATCTGTGGGGGATTCTTTTGAGTGATGATTAATGTGGAGGGGGCAGTGCTACCCCTGGGCAGATAGTCCTGGGTTGTGTAAGAAAGAGGCTGAGCAAAACCACCACGAGGAGCAAGCCAGGAAGCAGCCTTCCTTCTTGGCCTCCGATTTGGTCCCTGCCTGGAGTTCCTCCCCGCCTTTCCTTCATGATGAAGTCCAACTGTAAAATGAAATCAATCCTTTCCTTAGGTCATGGTCTTTATCATAGCAGCAACGGGCACTCGGCTAAGGCAGAAATTTGTACTAGCTACAATGCTGTGAGGGACCTGACGGTTTGATATGGGAGGATGTAGGAACTTTGGGCTTCAGAGCCCATCGAGAGTTTAGCACGTAATGGATTGTTGTGGGAGCTTGAGAGATAAGGATGCCAAAAGAGGCACTGATGACGGAGACCTGGCTTGTAAAATTTTACAGGGACGCAAATTAAGAATCCATGACGATTCATGTGCGATTTTAAATTAAGAATCCAAGGCTCTGCTCGGCTGGGGCTGAAATAGCATCTGTGATTAACAAGAGGCCAGAAACACTCAAGAGAGAGAACTTCTGCTTTGCTGGGACAATCAAAGCTGGCCATCGAAAGCAGGAGCTTATAAATCAGCCACAGCGAAGAAGAGACCAGTATCATCAAGGAATAAGCATCTGAGAAGTGTTCCCTTGGGGACAGCACATGGAAACTGTGGACTAGAGGGAGCCAAGGCTGCATATTAATGGTGGCAACTGAAGATGGTGATGTGTAAGAGCCACCAGGTTGTGCTGGCTTTGAACGTATGCAGGAGCCCAGCTGAGTCTCGGCACTGTATGTCAGGGCTGGAGCTCCTGGGTGAAGGTATAGCCTTCCTGACAGTAGAGACTCCAGCCTATTGAACACACCAGAAGTATGAGATTATGGTCAGGGATAGCAGCAGCTGTGGGCTGGATCCACTTGAGCCTATGAAACAGGTCTCCTGATTTGAGTACGGCAGATCCAGAGACATGAGGCTGCTCAGGCTCTTTGAAGGCCAGAAGATCATGAGTGAGGACCAGTTTGGACCCTGACTAAGCTATTTTATACCCCTGAAGTTGCCTTTCTCTGATTTGATAATGATGATGGTGCCCCGAGTCTCCTTTCTTGGAACAAGTATTTAACTTATTTTTTTAAATTTTTATAGGAGCCCACAGTTGAAAGACTTTGAACTTCTAAAGAGATGTTTAGGGAAGAACTTACTGGTTGTTCAGTGACACAGGATAAACCCTGAAAATATACATACAAGTAACACTATACAGGCCCAATGGGTTAGGTTTTAAAATGTACATGTATAGATATATTTGTTTACAATAGCAATTAATGAGAAAAGAGGCCACTAATTTGAATGAAAACAGGAAAGGGTATATGGAAAGGCTTAGGAGGAAGAAAGAGAAGGAAGAAATGTCATTAAGTTATAATCTTAAAAATAAAGAGATGTTAGATTTTGAAAGAAAACTTGGGCTTTTAGAATATTGAAAACTTTAAGACTGGGACTTTTAAAGTCATGCTTTGCTTATATTGTGATCTTAGTGGGAGAGCCTGGGAATGAACAAGAAAGGAAATGCTTTGGTTTAATAAAGGATGAGTCTGTGTGTCCAACTGACAGCAGGCCAATTGGTTTTGTCAACTTGACACAAACTAGACATATCTGGGAAGGGGGACACTCAGCTGAGCAACCTCCTCCATCAGACTGCTTTAGACAGACCTGTAGGGAATTTCCTTGGTTAATTATTGACGTGTGAGGGCCTCGTCCCCTGTGAGTGGTGCCGCCCTGGGCAGGTGGTCCTGGATGCGATAAGGCGACAGACTGGGCAAGCCATCCGAGCAAGCCATTGAGCAGCATCCTCCATGGCCTCTTCTTCAGTCCCTGCCTTGAATTCCTTCCTTGGCTTCCTTCCGTAGACTGTGACTCAGGATATGTAAGCTGCTCTGCCCAAGTTTCCTCCTAAAGTTTCTTTCAGCCATGGTGTTTTATCATAGCAATAGAAGCCTTAACTAATATGGAAAGGGGCTATGATCTTACAATTTCCTTCAGG